AAAGAGGGGCTGCGTATACTGGAATAAGTTCTGTGTCATTTCTGAGAATATTTTCCATATTATGGCTAAGTAAGCCTCCTCTTATTAATGGTTAGATGGCCTACAAATATTTCATATTGTACTGATCTAAAATGTGAAGCGCTAAACCAAACTCAATTAAAACTGGCCTACAAAAGCAGGGGATGATGAACAGGGGGTCAGGGACAATTTTCTGTGACAGAGTAAATTGATGGTAAAAGTACAGGGAGTGAATAGGCTTATGATCTGGTAGAGTCTCCTAGAATCAAAACTTCTACTTCTCCAACCCTCAGCCAAAAACTGACCTAGTACTCCTCTCATTTTAATCTTTTAATGTTTTGCTAATGTAGTACTTACATAAGAAAGGGATAATAATAGCATTTATACAGTGCTTTGAGATTTGCAAAACACTTTACAAATATTATCTCATTTTATCATTGCAACCACCTTGGGATGAAGGCACTATTATTTTTCCCATTAAAAAAGAAAAACAAAACAAAAGAAATTAAGTGATTTGCCCAAGGTCACACAACTAGTAAGTGTCTGTGACCAGACTTAAACTCAGGTCTTCTTGACTCCAGGTTCTACACTGTATCCATTGTGTTACCTACCTGGGATGGAAGGAAGGAAGGAGAAAAATGTTTTAAAATTTTATTTCCTCTAAATTTCTATCAAGAATCAAGCCCTCAGCCAATTATGACTCTAATGATATATGTCCAGAGTGGGATGTGTTAATAGAAAGTACTAGGAGCTGTGGAACAGTTTTGGTGGCTAGAAGCCTGGAAAGAATAGAAGGTCTGCAAATGGATGATACATTTACTGCAGTATCAGGCACACCACAGACACTCTAAAATGTCTACTGAATTAATGGATAGCAGTAGCTATTGGGAAAATAGCACTGAACTCTGAATGAAAAGTCCTCCAACTGAATACTTCATCTATCATTTACTACCTGCATGATCGTAGGAAAGTAATTTTATCTTAAGTTTATCTTTCTCATCTATAAAACTATGTACTCTTTACCTCACAAGTATGTTGTGAAGTAATTTGTAACTTGTAAAGTGCTACATAAATACGTATGTTCAAATGTGATTTTCTAGTAGGTGAATAGAATTTATTTTACAAATGATTTCTAAGATCACCTCTATTCTCTATCTAGGCCAATGTCTTCAATAATACTTCTTCTTTGAAGCCCACTGTGATACCAACTTTGGAAGTAATCGGAACTCTGACACGTGTATTTGTTTATTTATTCTCTTATACGTTTGCATTATATTTCCTATTATAGTGACTTATGTATACATTTTGTGTCCTCTGAGATAGTAAACTCTTTGAAGGAAGGGAGATTGTCTTAATATATCCTTGAATCTCCCTCAGCACCCAGCACTGTATATTAGGAACTTAATAAATGTTGAGCTGAATAGAATGTAATTTTACAGATGAAGAAATAAAGTGAGAAGACAAGTCAACTTCCCTAAGGACACAGAGCTAATTAGTGGCCATGCTTGAGCTATAATTCAGGTTTTCTGATTCTAATTCCACTACTCTTTCTAACATACTACTATTTGCCCTGGAATTACCGTAAGTCCAGAAATCCCTCCTTAGGAAGCATTTCATTGGCATTTTGAAATGTTACAAGTAAAGGACAAGACTCATAAATTTAATAAAAATACATTTTTTTCCTAGAAATATTTCACAAGAATTCAGGCATTGTTAGTAGGTCAATGGGGGGGAAGGAGTACAATTATTTATTAAATGAAGACTTATTAAATACCTATTGTTGGCAAGAAGCTATATTGAGTATTATTGGGGGTGTGTGATGGTATGTATAGTTCCATTGAACTCCATATCTATAAACACTTGTAATTTAGAGAATATTGTGCTAGTAGCTGGGGAGATGAGACCCAGATCCTGCTGTCACAGAGCACAGAGGGAAGACACAATGTTTTCTGCCAATGAGATTAAAATACCAAAATAAGAGAGATGATAGTCTTTTAATTGTTGTTTCTACTTCCAGCCTCTCCCTACTTTATAGAAAGCTACAAATATGCATACATACATACATACACGCATACATATGCACATACGTACATATATGCATTCCTAAAGCCCATATTTGACTATGTCACTGCCCTATTAAAATCTTCAGTAGTTTTTTACTGCCTCTAGGATAAAGTCAACACTCTTCTGTTTGGCATTCAGAGCCCTTCATAGTTTGGCTTCAGTTTATCTTTCCACTTTTATTTCCCATTATTCCCTTCATGTACTCTACATTCTAGTCAAACTAGGATTCTTGTGGTTCCCCGACCTTGGTATTTCATGCTCCACCTCTGCGGCTTTCCGTAGACTTTCTCTCCATACCTAGAAGCACTCCATCTCACTGAAGTCTTCTACAATACTAAGCTTTCTTCAAAACTCAACTCAGGTGCCACCTTTTTAAGGAAACATTTTCTGATCCTCCCAAGTCTTAGTAGTTTTCTGTTCTTTGAATTATCTTATAATTTCTTTTCTGCACAAATACTGTGTCCCTCAGTGGTGCTATAAATTCTTTGGGTGTTCAGATGATTTTTTTGGGGGGGAGGAGAGTTCTTTGTATCTGTAAAACCTTGTGTAGTATTTTTTCACAGAGTAGGTGCCTGATAAACACACACTGAATTAAATTAGATTGAATATTCAGTCCCAGGAATTGCCCATTGCTACCTTTCCAAAGGGCAAAAAAAAGTATTAATTTAATTTCACCCTATATTTTACAAAGGCTATTTATATGCTGCTGTGATCTAATTAATGCCATAAGAATGTGAATAATGGAACATCATGGCCTCAAAGAATTAGCATTGTTAAGTGACAAAGTGTAATGGAGATAGTTGGTGGATATAAGTACGCTCAGCATGGCTTATGTGCAAGAAATGGCATAACCAAGGAGATATGTGACTGCAAAAGAATAGTCAAACTTACATACAAAAATATTTATTTGTAGAAGCTTTTTTTCTAGTGGCAAAGAATTGAAAACTAAGATGGCAATTAACAAATTGGGAAATGACTAAAACAAATTATGGTATATCAGCGTGTGATACATTTATTTTCATGTTATGAAAAATCAGTCAATCAGCATTTATTAAGCACCTTCTATATGCCAGTCACTGTACTAAATGATGGGAATCCAAAGAAAAACAAAAGTCAGTCCCTGTCTTCAAGGATCTTATAATTATGATGGAGGAGATAACATGCAGACAACTATATACAAAGTAGATACAGGGTAAATTGGAGAAAGTCAGTGGAAAAGACAGACTAGAATTAATATGGGTTGGGAAAGAAATGATGAAGAGAACAGTTTCAGAGAAACCTGAGAAGCATTCTATGAAATAATGCAGAATGAAGTGAAAAGAACAAGGAAAACAATATTTAACAACAACAATGTAAAGACAAACAACTTTGAGAAACTAAAGAAGTGATTGATACAATGACCAGGGGACCAAAGGTGAACCAGACTACCTACTTCTCTTGACAGAAAGGTGAAGATTTAAGATGAAAAAAATGAGACAATTTTTGGATACACAAACAATGTGGGGGTTTGTTTTGTTTTATTGTAAGTTTGTTACAATGATTTATTTTTTTTTCCTTTTCAGTTGTGGGGGATGAGAAGAAGAGAAATTAAACTCTTATTAATTCAAAAATAAAGTTTTAAAAAGGAGGATCAATGATGTGGCAAGAGCAAGGGATGATATATATTGTGTAAATATTGCATTGGTTATAATGAAACATTAAATGAAGCATAGTAAGGTCTTCAGAACAGTGGTCAAAATGTCTATTGGATTGGAAGGTATTAAGTATTTATTTTGTGCCAAGAACTGTGCTTAGTATTGAGGATACAAAGAGAAAAGCAAGATAGCCACTGTTCTCAAGCACCTTACATTCTAATTATAGGAAATAGCGAATATAAACTCTCTCTAGAAGAATTTATAGAAGCTATGGACAATACTTATACAGGAAGAGAAGATGTGGATGGAATATAAACTGCTTTAGAATAGTAAGTGACCACACTGAGGAGACCATGGAGTCATTAGAGCAACTATACCATCAAAATAACTATACCAAACCTCCATGAGCTCCTGTGCCATGGAATTCAACATAAATTATCTTTCCAATAGGGCTTGTTATTAGAATTACAAGAATTAAATGTTTTGTTTTGTTTTTTTTACCTGTGACATCCTACTCTGAACTCTAAGGACTCTTTAATTCCAATGTATTTAAATGAGAGAAAGTATCAAGGAAAGGCAGCTGCTTAAACATAAAAGTTATTTTAATTTTTAATGCTCAAATATATATTAACATAGATATCTTGGAATTTTTGTTGTTGATATTTAATGGGAACAACATTTTAATTTTTCCCCTTGGTTAGAGACTTTTAGAACTAATAATCCCATATGGCACTTGTTTAAATTTAGTTTAAATTAATATATTTAAACTCAACCAACGTACCACAACCTGTTTATTATTAAATAAGCAGTCAGGTTAGTTCAGTGGATAGTGTGTGGGGCCTGCAGTTGGGAAGACCTGAGTACAAATATAGTCTCAGACATTTAGTAGCTATGTGACCCTAAGCATATCACTGATGTTCTGTTTGTTTCAGTTTCCTCAACTGTAAAATGGGTATTATAATAGCACCTTCCTTCCAGGATTGTTGTGAGGATCAAATAAGATAATTTTTGAAGTATTAGCCCAGCAAGTGTTTAATAAATGTTGTTTCCTTCCTTCTTAAGTATCTAAAGCCAAGATAGTCAATAGTGGTGTTCAGGGAATCTGTGCTTTCATCATGTGTCAAGTTATGATTCAAAAGAATGAGTTAACATATTTTCAACACCAAAGAGTGACTTATTCAGTGTCTTACAACTACTAGGCACTCAAAAAATTATTGAATTAATTTTGTAAATAATTGTAATTATGTGACTACATGAAAACACAATTTTAAATCTGTTAGTGTTTCACCTTGTGAAACATTTGGTAGAAGAATATGATCAATTTATAGGAAAAATAGAACAAAAGTATACCTTAAGGTTGACAACAAAGTACAGCTTTTTAAACAACCAGTCCACAGAAATATCCCTCACAGTAACATTACTCTTGTAGAGAAGTCTTGGATTTGTGAGATTGGCTGGAGAAACAGTCCAAATGTGTTGCCCATCTGCAATAAAGAGCTCATTTTCATGTAGATCAGCAGTTATCCCTGTGGAAAGGGGATGAAAACAAAAATATGGTTAAAGCTTCTTTAAGTTCAACAGTTCCTTCTCATTTCCAGAATTGGAAGAAGTTAAAAGAGAGAAACTGAATTTCGAGTCTTGAGGTAGATATAATACAGATAATTTTAAGACCTATGCTATAAACTTATTAAAGTCACGAGTATTAAGAATGGAAGTCAACCTTATGAGTTGAATCAACATGGGGAATTTTGAACTGTGGCCCAATTCCATAACTAGTGTAGCCAAGGATGTTAGCTACTATGCTTTGTTTCTTTCACTTTAAGGTACACACACACACATTTTCTTTTTCAGCTTATCTGAGTAGATTTCAAAATGCAGCACAAATCACTGTTACTTCTTTATAAATGTATTCCTTCGGCAGTTTTTCTTTTAAAAAATTTTTAAGAATGTGGTGACACCTCCTCATTTAAGAAACATAAGTCACATTTATACAGTCCTTTAAAGTTTCTCAAGCATTTCACTTATAATAACCCTATGAAGAGAACAGTGCAAACCGTATCCTCATTTTACAAATAAGAAAAAAGCTCAAAAATACTCAGTAATTTGACTATGGCCATTACACTATGGAGTGGGATGTAAAGGAAAAAACTTTAGATTTAGAGAAAAATGACGCTGGGTTCAAATTTGAATCTGAATCTACTACTTATCTTTATGACTAGAGAAATGACATTAATTCTATCTGCTAAAATTTCCTAATGATCACCAGGATTTGGGATGACCCAAGAGCATGAAGATTAGTTTGAAGGAAATGGGAATACTTATCCTAAAGAAGGGAAGACTTAGTGGGAATATGATGGCTGTATTCAAGTGTTTGATGTGTTGTCATGTGAAAAAAGGGATTAAACTTTTCTACTTGGCCCCATGGGTAGAAGAGATATTAGAAGAAACGTAGTAATGATTAGAGCTAGCCAAAAGTGAAATCAAGAAAGTAGGTAACCAAGCATTTATTAAATATTTACTACATGGCAGGCACTGTTCTAGGTTCTGAGCATACAAAAACAAAGAACGAAAAATTCCTACTCCCTAGGAGTTTCCCCTCTTCCAACTCTCACTGTTTCTGTATAAGTAAATAAAGGCAGTATGGCTAGTTTTCCTGCTTGGCTTTTTAACTTTGCCGTGAAGTAATTTCCAAAAAGGAGTTTCATAAATATTTGTGGAAATAAAAAAGTATAGCACATTTAGATTTATACCATTTTAAAAATTATTCTGATTATTTTCAGTCATTTTCTATTGAATTTGTTCATAATGACAGAGATCTATAAGAGTATGGAACCCGAATGTTATATAAAACCATAACTCTCTCTCTTTTTATGTGTATGTGTGTGTATATATTTATATATATACATATATATATATATATATATATGCATACATGTATATATGTGTGTATGTATGTGTATATATATATTGGAAAAGGATTCCTATATAAAGGTATATTCAATTTACATATGGTAGTCATTTTTAGTGTTGACTATGATGTAAAATATGCACGTTATGGTGTTAACAAAACCAATATATAGACATGTCTTGTGTATAGGAAACAAATAATTTTGACAGAGACAAAAATTTGTTTGAGTATAAAATTGAAGTAGTCTTTATACTACCATGAGCAATAATGACAGAGCTTTCCCCATAACATAATTCTTTACCAAAGATCAAAAAATTGCTTTGTATCAGTGATGCATTTTGATCCATGGGACATTCTTACATAGCATTTCTTCCATGGTTCCTGGTTCACTTTGGTAGAGATAATTTTTCTGTGACAACCACAAGATAGCATTTGTGGATTGTTCTAGGGTGAAGAAGTCACAAAGAAAAAAAAATGATCTTATTACTAGATAATTCTATAACAACCCAAACCCAACAATAAGTAGTTCCCTACCCCCATTTTTTACCTCTGTTTGGCTGTGTAGTGATGTTTGTGATAGTTGTTGGCCCAATTCCTTCTGCATTTCTTACAGCTACTGGAAATCTGAACAGGCAGAGTAATTCTTAGAGATAAAAGCAAGTAAAGAAACAAAATGGTGGGGATTTTTTTCCCCCAAGGAATGCAACTAAATGTTTTTTTTAAGAGTTTTTCATTATGACAAACATCACATATGGAAGAGAGTTGTTAGATTACTTATTTCATATCCGTATCAGGGTAAAACCCTACATAGAACATTAATGTAATGTTCACTCTCTTTTGTTCACTCTGTGTGCAACACTTAAGTTCTCTTTAAGACTGAGCAGAACCAATGCCTTTCGAAAATCTAGAATATTCAAATGTCAGAGTTCTAGTTATTAGTTCGCATCATGTTTTGGCTACCTCCCAAATGATTTTCACACAGGCCACCAAGTAGCACAAAGCCTTTAAAGCCTCAAACAGCTTTGTTATAGATCTATTGAATTTTTGAAATTTTACATGTTACAGGGCAATACCAAAATCTCTAGTTGACAGTTTTGTGAAGTGTTATGACTTTGGCAAAGGTGAACCACAAATGCTTTCTCTGGACTCTGTCATCCAGTATCCTGAGTTTGGTAATAACCTCAAAGACTGACAAGATTTGCCAGAAATTATAGCTCTTAAACTGAAGTTAGTTGTATTATGAGATTTTTGTTTTGTTTTGTTTTGTTTTGTTTGTTTGTTTGGGGGGCTGGGGGAAAGGAAAGGAAGGGGAGAGAAGGTTCCTTTCTAAATCCACAACAGCACTGGAGACATTTAAAAAAAAAACATTCAAGGGTATCTGGTTCTAGGATACTCTACCTCATCCTCACTTCTTTTCTGAAAACACAAGAATCCAATATAGAAATACTCCCTGAAACCTAGCAAAAGATTTTTTAGATAAACCTAAAGTATTTTGTAGATAAACCTCTCTAATCTTGTTAAACAGTATAACTAGACTTAGTCAAGAAAAATAGTTGATTTCAGAAGTCTCAGTAAAAAAAAAGCAAAATAAAATTAATAAGTCATTGGCTAAGTAGGGGCTAAAATGTCATTTTTGGTCTATGTACAAGCATGAAATAATTTTTAGTATCAATAGGAAGGGATTTTTTTAAATTCCCAGTCATGTAGTTTAGTGCTTCAATTCTCAATGTATTTTTATATATTTTTTAAATTTGTATTTATTTTTAATCTATGGAATAAAGCAAATATTTCCATAACATGGTACAATAAAAAGAAAAAAATATAATTGCACATGAAGCTGCAAATCTATTATGTTCAACTTGCTATTCTTTTTAAATATATAATAGTGTTTCATGTAAATTTCTTTTTTTTCCTTCTGTCCCTCCCCACTGTAGAGATGGTTACCATTAGTCACAAATAAATGTGTGTGTGTGTGTGTGTGTGTGTGTGTGTGTCTGTGTCTGTGTAAAGTCATTCTATATACCCCTCTATCAGTTCTTTCTCTGGATGAAGATAGCACCTGCCTTTATATGTGGAAAACTAGGAGATACACACACACATACATATACACACATATATATATATATATACACAAATATATATATACATATATTATATATACATACATACATATATGTGTGTGTGTGTGTGTATATATATATATATATATATATATATATATATATATATATATATATATATATATATATATGTAAAAGGCAAAAGATAGTCTCTGTCCTCAAGGAATTTATAATCTAATGAACTGATGAAAGTCTTGCTTCTCTTAGTAGCAGAATCACCATTAGAAACCAGTCTCTGAAAATTAGAGTATCTCAACATTTCATAGCAAATATATGTACTTTTTAAAATGTTTTCACATATACAATGTCTCTTTATAGAATCATTACCCTGTAAGTTGTGTAGGGCAAAGCAAGTACTATATTTCCATCTAACTTCACTTAATTGATCAAGAATTTGAGCCTCAGAGTGGTTGGGGGAATAATCCAAAGTAAGTTAATGGCTAAAATATGTGTGGAACCCAGATTACTCATCTGTATTCTATCTGAGATTTTACCTAAATTACTTATGGTTTTTTTGGTTAGCTTACCTGGAATAATTTGAAAAATTGTTTGCATCTAAATATTATAATTGGTATTATTAATATTAATTTTACCCAAAATGAAAGACTTTAATGCAAAAACCAATAATCATAGTAAACATCGGTCGAGGAACCTTGTATTCTTTGAAAAATGCTTTCCCAAAATATTTTGTTAAATTTGCATCTCACAACACTTCTGTAAAGTAGCTGGTGTTGTTATCCATATTTTACATATGGAGAAATTGAGGCACAGAGGTTTTAAGTGATTTGCCAAAATCACAAAGCTAGTGTCAGTGCCAGTCTAAATCCAAAGTTCCTTCTATAAATAACACAGATCCCATAGCTTGGTTAAAACCTACCTGTATGCTGTATCTGGTGTTGTAAAGAAAATGGTATAGTTGTTTCTCATTAACTTCCCTAATGAATGTCTTGCTTTCATTCCAGAGATGAAGTACATAACCAGTTAGTGGTCTATTCATAAATATAGGAGGTTGCCAGCTTTCGAAGACTGAAAAAGGACTTGGACTCTCTATTCTTGTAATCATTGGAGCTACTGATGGAGCTGCAAGAGGAGAAAATAGAAAAAAAATCATTGCAGCATGACAACTTAGGAGCAGAGTATTTTGCCATCAGACATTTGTCTATTTGCATCAGTAGATATTAAAAAAAAAACCTGATTCATCACACAAAAAAACATTGATTTCATATTTAGATTTAGTCTTGTAATATGATTTAAGGTGCCTCTGTTCTTTTTCTGTGTCACATTTCTGAAGCCCACCACTAGACACCTTTCTCCAAGGACTAGGTACAGAATTTGCTGCCAAAGGGGCAAATATCTTTATGTTCTTTCAAAGTGTACTCTGGACTATGGAGAAAGATAAGACTTTATTACAGATTTACAAACACACACACACACACACACACACACACACACACACATACACAAACACACTAATGATAACACAGACCTTCCAGCAGAACCTTGCTGTCTTTCTCAGAATGAACACTGGGGACTACACAGAATAGACAAAAAAAAAAGAAAATGGAGAAGCACCAGACCACTGCAGCCAAGCCACTGCAAGCTCCTCAGAGGCTTATTTTATGAGGATTCACTATTACAGTCTCCCACACGCTGCACTGTGATTCTTGCAAAAGATAAGCTGGCTTGACATTTTTACAGCAATGCTAATTACAGTGCTGATCTCACTGAATGCTTTTGTGCTTTCCTGCTCTAGGTGCAGAGTTTCCAGAGCTCATCTCTAGTGAGCAATTCCAGCTGTGCTCCTCTGCCCTTACTGCTGTTGCTTACACTAAGAGGGCTGTCGAGTCCAGCTAGTGAAAATGTGACTATCTCTGTAAGGCTGCACGCCACCTATATATTTATATTGTTGTTTATGCTTCTCTGTATTTTTCTTCACAGTTTTAACCATTTAAACCAAGTCCACAATTGTTTGTTAATGAAAGGCCCCAGTATTTTATTTTAAACACCCTGTGTGTATCACAGAAAGGGATTGAAATTAGCACAGTCACCTCTTTGGAAATATTGCATGTTTAGAAGTAATAATCTTGTTAACCTGACTCAGTTCTACACTGGAAATATTGCATGTTTAGAAGAAATAATCTTGTTAACCTGACTCAGTTCTACACTTCATTTTGTTTACATTGACCAGGATCTCAGCATCAGAACACAGAATATTAGACCAAATTTGACAGTTACAAAATAGATGTTTTGGCCATATATACTTCAATGAATCAATAGGAACCTCATTTAGATAAAAGTGGAATTTAGAAATTGAGTGTAAATATTTCCCCAAAACTTATTTTTATCATTAATATAATCAGTGCTTCTCATAATCAAATATTTATTCTATGAACCACATTTATTTCCCAAACTATTCTTATTTTCAGCTATGTAGACATGAATATAGATATGTATGCACATACATGGGTACACACACACACACACACACACGCACGCACTTACACAGTTGCTCCCTACATTCAACTTAAAAGAACAAGATAAAGTTATCCCACCAGTACATTGGGTAAATCCTTAATGAAATATTTTTGGGAAACAAAAAAAGAATAGTATTGGTCGAGTGGCTATGAGGCAGATTCATAAATAGGGTGGGCTGACTAGAGCTTTTATCTACAGTAATAAAATTTGGCAGGTGCCAAAAGTAGCATGCAGAAGCATACTTCTTCCATATAAGTGTTTTTCTCCTGGTCCTAAGCTGCCACTACCCTCTGCCTCCCTGAAGCAGCCAGTACATCAGCATCATGGAAACATCCTGGTATTCTAGGATGGACTTTGACCCTATTGTGATCTTCTCTCCTTCAAACTCTCTTTTCCCTCCTTGCCCAGCAGCAGTAACCCTTTAGCAATGCATAAATCACAGTGTCCAGGGCACACTTCTTCTACTGAACCTCAGGTGAGTTTCCCACTCCTTTCCTTAGCTACAAAAAAATTCTGAATTATAGCTCTGAACAGAAGGTAGGCAATCTGTCCTAGCGGAAAGAGTACCAACACTAATGATATCCTGGATTCATCAGAGTAAGTATAAAAGTAAGGATGGCTGATGTATCTGAGTGCTTCTATCTCAGTGCTAGCCAGCTTATTTTGCAAGCCAGTAATGGCTGATTAATGATTAATAATAGTTAGCATTTGTATAACACTTAATAGCTTATAAAGCACTTTACAAATATTGACTCATTTTATCCTTACACTATCCCTTGAGATAAGTACTATTATCATTTCTATTTTATAGATGAGAAAACTGAAGCAGACAGAGGTTAAGTGATTTGCCCAGAGCCACATAACTAGTGTAGTGGCTGAAGCCACATAGCTAGTAAGTAGCTGAAGCCAAATATGAACTCAGGTTTTCTTGACCCTCATTAAGTCATCTATCTACGATGCTACCTAGCTGCCCTGCTTGTTTTATGATGTAATCCATAATTTGAAAATTCTCTAAATCTAGTACCAGGTTTT